CATTTAACTCGCAACTACTTTAAATGTTAATTTCCATGAGATAACACAAACACCACAACCGTAAAGTACGATTTATACATTTTAACTACAGCCAAACATAGTTAAATAATATTATTTCTTGTATAAAGTAAATACTTTAGTTTCAGAGCACAGATTTGAGGTCCGTGAACGCATCACTCGTGTTTTCTTGATGTTATGGAAACGCACGCAGATTGTCCTAAATTTGTCCGCCACTCTGACGCATTTATACTCCAMTTTAAGTGAATGTGAAACGATGAAGAGTTTATCACATGCGGGCAGATACAGAAAATGGTTTTACTGTTTCAYTAAGCCACCTGGTGAGTGTTAGTAAATACAGAATGGGACGGTAAAGCTCGAGAATACTCACCGAACAGGCCGCCTATCTGATCATCTTCCTGCTGCTAATGTTTCACTTTCGATCATTCTAAGAAGGCAGGAAGCGGAGAAAACAGGTAGAGAGAGGAACAGAGGCAGCTGGACCCGGACTGAGACGAGAAACTTTAACAAAAACTCTTACAATTCTCATAAACCCTCTTTCAGAGCGGGAGTCCTTTCAACTGGTGCGTTCTACTTCCGGTTAGAAGAGGAAGTTCAAAAATAAAAACTACAAACTGCGTCTTTAAGGTGAGAAACATTTAATTTGAATGTTATTAGAAATCACSCTTTCTGTTTCTGGTTTAAACAGTTCAATATGAGTGAAATGTTTTGTTTTGTGCAATTAGCAGTATAAATTAGTCTAAATATGAGTGCATTTTAAAACTTTCAACACTGYTTTGAACATAATTTTGTTATTTTCCTTAATCAGGGGTTATTACATAAATATAAGCTTAATTATTAATGAACAGAAATGCTTACTGGAATCTTGTCAGCTTGTATTGACTGGAATTTCCCTGAGTGAGTCAGTTTTATTGTTTCTGAAAATGCTTTTGCCTTTATGTTTATTGTGTGTGTTTGACCTTGTCTCAGATCAGTTTTAGATCTATTACCAATTAAGACAAAACTATACAACATTTGTAGGAAATGAGCTTAAGGTGAATTAAGCTTTTCCCACATCTCTCATACACAAGGTTATGAGGAAACTTTTRCCRAGGTATTTCTCATTACTTGTTAATATCTTGACTGTGCGAAGTGAAAAGTGACACAATAAGTGAACGTTCAGACGAGTTCAAGTTGATTCATAAAAGACTATGCAATCATTTATTTACACAAATTGAACAGATCATAAGTTACACTTGATTGTGGTTATTCCTATAACAGCGTCAAGAGTTAAATGAGATAAAACACGCGTTCGAATTTCAATTCACATTAACTCAGATTACTTATATAGAACAGTAAAACGTCAGTTCTGATGTTAACAACCAAACAATTTTACTGGCACTTTAGCTTAAATTTTGGCAAATAAAAGAAATAAGAAAGGAGGAAAGTAAGATTAGTATGTTACTACTACTTTTACTTTTATCAAAGTGTGGGTCAACCGGAACTGCACGTCTTTTCTAAGCTCAGGTTCCACATGACACGTCACTCCGAACACATCAGTTTTTACCTGGTGATGACTTCTTAAGGCACCCTCGGGGTAGGAGCTGGCTCACCTCCACAGTGTGATTAACCACCACCTCAGCAGTGATGTTTACTTTGAAAATATGTAGAGCTAATCTGTACTGACAAACTGCAGAAATATTGTCTTCACTAAAGCACTCTGTCTCACAGTGTAATGAAAGCTGTTTTTGTTATTTTGTGATGTTATTGGTTGTGTATTTCTGTTCTCTAGCGATGACCTGCACACACTGTTTTTGTATAAACGACAAGTCTTAGCTCCATAGTTGTTGTCGTACTTTAAAACATAATTCCACCTTTTTTAAGCTCAAAAAACTTTATACATGTTAAAGCAGAAGTTATTCTTGCTTCTGTGTGTTTTTTAATGTTATAATTGAAATTATGCACTAAAATTCACAAGGCTTGTTAATAACATCAGTTCAATTCTTTTTCCAGTGGTTCCTCCTGCACAAGTGGTMTTGACAGGGCCCTTGCGACAATGTTAGTGGAAACACTAAATGACTTTTATTTACCTAATGACATGGTAAATTTAATCATTTGTTCTTTCCCCAACATGACCTGAAATTTTCAGGAAAATTTGTTTGTAACTACTTGAGTAATCTTAACTGACAAGCAAATCAATGCTAACGAAAACATTACTACTCCTTGTACTATTAATATTACTACTACTACTACTAATACCACTGACACATTGGCCTCACTTGACTGCAGTAGATACTGAGCAGAAGAACCTCTTCTTTAGATTTATTTTGAAGACTACTACTACTACTAATACCACTGACACATTGGCCTCACTTGACTGCAGTAGATACTGAGCAGAAGAACCTCTTCTTTAGATTTATTTTGAAGATTGGATTTTAGATTTTGTTTATCTGCTTTACATAGTTTTTATCCAGTTTATTTGTATTTAGTGCTACATAAAACATAAATTTTTAGGAAATCACCTTCTTGTACAGGTATTCATTTGTGTAAAACTCTTGTCTCTGTAGGGTTGATTTGTTTGTTGTTTTGTTTTTTTAGACTGATAAATGAAAGCAGCTTTTTTCCCCTCAGAATCAGAATGAGCATCCAGGAGCAGGAAGCAGCGGAGAAGAAATACGACCCACTTGACACAACATTGAAGTTTGTCGACAGAGGAGATGACTTGGATCCAGTTTGTAAGATTTGTTTCTTGTTTGACTGATTTTGGACAAAAAAGATGCAAATCAGAAAAGTTGGATTTTATTTTGACACAAATTACAAAACAAAACACAATAGTTGTTTTAATAGTCTTATAATTTCTTATTTTTCTGTCACCTAAATCAGGGGTTCTCAAACCTTTTGGGTCTTGGGACCACTTACAAGGGTGAAAATTTTCCAGGGACCCCCTCATAAACCCCATGCTGTTTTAAAAGATAATTTATTGCCATTTCAACCCCTAAATGCCATGAAAATATATTTTTTATTAAGTTCATTATGTTTGTTTTATTAGTTCCTTGTTTTCCATGCATTTTTAAAAATAAAAACCAAATTAACAATTTAGTGAAATTTTTAAGGATCCCCAAGATGCCTCTTGCAACCCCATTCTGACAACCTAAAAGAATCACAAGTTTTCACWGCCTAAATGAGTGTTTGCCCCCGACAGCCTCTGAATTTTCCTCTCTGCGAGCTGAAATGTCCTGTGGACACGCTGTCACTCCAGAGTCTCTGACCCTGTGGTGTCGCAGCCAGCTGGACGAGGTACCTCAACCCTTCAAAGATCGTTTAATCAGAGTTATTTAATCATTTCTCTTCCTGTTGAGGCAAATAKATTCTTCTGTTTGTTTGATTTTGAAGGGGAATTATCAGTTCAGATGTCCTGCATTGGTGGACGGCTTCAAACTGTGCAACAAGTTGTGGTCGTACCAGGAGGTGCGCAGACTGGCAGACCTAGATGTGGATGAAATGCAGTATTTTGAGGAGACGATGGCTCGTTTGGCCGTAGCAGAGTACTGTGAGGTTCAGCCGGTGAGTGGTCCAGTGGCTGACTTTGTTTTTTTAATTAAACCACATCAAGTGGAGCTAAATATTACTTTAAATAATTGCATCCCTTGTTTTACGTGTCAGTGCCCAAAGTGCAAAACGAGCGTGGCGAGGGAGAATATGTGCAACCTGTGTGTCCAGTGTGTCATTTGCACGGCAGACCAGAAGAAGCCCTACCAGTTCTGCTGGCAGTGCCAAAAGCCGTGGAAGAACCCGGGCGCTCGGTCCGACTGCTGCGGCAACCGCGGCTGCGTCAACAGGGACCTGCAGATCCTGCAGACGTGCAAAAACATCAGTCTGCCCGAAGTGGAGGGCGTCAGCAGCTGCCCCTCGGTGCGAGCCTGTCCCGTGTGCGGCATGAAGGTGGAACACAACCAGACGTACTGCAAAAACGTCACGTGTCCACACTGCAAGCTGGAGTTCTGCTTCGTGTGCCTGAACCCAAAGTCTGTGTGTTGTAAAACCAGCTCGCCGTATAGAATCTGTCCCAGCGGCGTGGCTCCGAGGCAGACGGCTATTCCTGTGTGGAAGAAAAAATGAGTGACGACAAAGCGGTTTTTGGGTTTGAGGAGCAGTTTCACCAGAAATWTGTTGAGGATTCCTAAAATTTGGACAATAAGTTCGTGTATCTCAGCTTTAAGAACGTTTAAAGTCCTTTTTATTTAGCTGCTGTTTTATTTTCTTGTATGGATCATCAGTTTTGGAACATGCACATGTAAAGTTTACACGCTGAAATGTAATCTTTAAGTCTGGATTATTACTGATGTCAAACAGAATAACAGGCCTGATCATGATTACTGTAGTTCGTTCATCTAGAAGTAAGACCATGTTTATTGACAAATGTAAGAAATAAATCTTTCAGTGGACCAGATCTTCACCCGTGTAGGGTTTCTAAGTGAATCGTAAAACTTTGACTTCAATCATCTTAAGTTTTATGGAGTTGGAGAAGGCACAGGTTTCCTGCAGGGGCAGAGCCAGGGGACTGGGATTTTGCATTTAGATTTATTTGTTATAAATATTGTTCTCTGATACTACTGTACTATATACATTTTAGATGTATAAGATTAAAAATGGCTGAATTATAGCCCTTTGTAAAATTAGCATTAGCATTATTGGCAGAATGGGATTAGCATATGATCATTCTTAGCTACTCCACAATAAAATTAATCCCAATTAGTCAAAAAAGTGGCTGAATTACAGTCTTTTAAAGTTAGCTCTGGTGGCTATCTTGTATTATTGATTAGTATTAAAAAAGATTGTTTTACAGCACTTCCACTAAAATCTTCAACTTAGCAGCTGACTAAAAATAGCTGAAAAATAAGTTTTGAGTAGCATTCAGTATGCTTTATATATATA